CCCCGTCCCCCCCCCACTCCCGCCCCCGCCCCCGCCCCCGCCCCCCACTCCTCAAAGCACCGCCGGGGCTGGAGCAACGCGCGGGCTGCCGTTCGATGGTTCCACATGGATAGGCCGACCGTGGGCACGTGAAAAGAGAGTTAAAAGGACAATGGAGCATGACCAGACAACGCCATTCCAGCACTAGACGCGCCGATCATGGATCTTCAACGATAGAACTACATTGATAGAATCAGCATCGCTGGTGCGGGGCTCGCGCTGCCACCGACTCCCTCCCAAGCCTGTGCCCGCTGGTCCCCTCTTCTCCTTGTTCCTTGGTCTGTCTTTTTTTCTGTCTGGGACCGAATAATGCACGGCTAGACACGTTGACGCGGAAAAAGACGCACAACACACACACACACGGCGACAGAGAGAGAGGGGCATCCATTCACCTCGGGGAAGGCGCCCTGGAAGAATGGGACGACGCCCCGGACCAGCTCTGCTGGCGGCCAGATGGGAGAAGGAGACCCCCCCCCGGGTGCTCACTGGCCGGTGACAGGCTCCGGCCCGCCGGTCGGGCAGCGGCATTTCTCGTCCACCAGGTTGAAGGAGGGCGACAGGTAGTTTTTGGCGTAGAACTCCGCCACAGCTGGGATAGACCGTCGCGTGTTAGAGAGGGTCCCGGGGCACATGCCGGTCAAAGGGGGGCGCCCGGGTGGGAAAAAAAGAAAGCGGAAGAGAGGCCCCCCCCCCCCCCCCGCCCGGCTCCCGGGAACGGGGCGAATGCCTGAAACGCACCGAACGAAAAATCTCGACTGAAGTTGGCGATGTTGCTCGGGTCGCGGCAGCGCGGCGACAATTCCACCTGGTAGGCATCGCACACGGACACGCAGCTGATGTTGTGCGACCGGTCGATGGCTTCCCCCTCGGCGAGGGGCTGTTGCGGCAGCCCGTCAAGCCCTGGCCGGGAGAAGGAGCACCGGGATGCGCGCGAGGGCGAGGACATGGACCCATGGCGGATGGAGGTGTAGCCGCCGAAGAAGTAGTTGCACGTGGTGGTGGGCGTGCCGCCGGACATGCACGGCACCCCGGGGAGCGGGGGATCCGAGGGGGATAGCCCGGCCGGCCCCATGGCCACCGTCATGGCAGGCGGGGTGGCCGGCTCGACACCGGCCCCGGTCTTGGCCGGAGCCTTGCCAAAGGGCAGGGCATCTTCCAGTGAGGGAACCGCGCGCCAGCCGCGCGCAGCGATGTGGGACCCGAGGGACCGGCAGCCGCCGAGCAGGCACCAAATCCGCTTGGCGGTGGCCTGGACACTCTCCGGGCACAGATCCGAGTGGTGGTTCCGATCGATGATGGTCTCGATGGCGGTGGCCAGGCACTCATCTTCGATGGCTGCGCGGACCGACGTATTGCGCACTATGTCCAACAGATGGTACAGCCGGAAGGGGCTGGCCTCGGGGGTGGCCGCTGTGAGGGACGCCTGCCGGATGTCCCGCAGGCCGTGTGCCGGGATGCAGTATCCCACCTCCAGCCAGTCCTCCGGATGCGACTGCCCATGCAGGTCGATCAGCAGCACGCGTGGCGGCCAGCAGGGCCCAATGCCGCGGGCCAGATGCAGCCGCGCGGCCGGCGACGCCGAGCACAGGGACAGCGTCTGGCGGTAGGCCAGCTGCTTGGCCCGCTCGATGTACGAGTGGTAGGCATACCAGGCGCGGCTGGCGTCCGGCAGACCCTGGGCCGCCTGCGCACGCGCATCCAATGGGCACCCCCGGCCGGGGCGGGCGAGCAAGCAGGCAGGCAAGTAGCCAGGGGAGGTTGAGCGGAGCGGAGCGGGGGGGGGGGGGGGGGGGGGGGGGGGGGGGGGGGG